TTTTACTCTTAAATTCTAAGCCCACTGTGCTAAGTTATGTCTGAGCAAACGCTTTCTTCTTCCTTGGCTGGGGTACCCCCTAGTCTATTCCTAGTCTGTAGGTGAAGAACCAATGTTGTTTTGCCCTTGTCAAGGCAAGGGAAAAGTTCTGAATTGGGTTGTTACTGTGCAAAAGTGATGGGTGCAACATGAGTTGGCCAGCATGTCTGAGCACAACATTACCAGTTCTTCCTTCCCAGCTGGAGGAGCTGGATTTTTTCCTGGTCTTGTGGTGCTTGGTGTGGGCACAGCTGCTAAAGGAACATGCAGCCTGCTCTCCTGCGGCAGGTGCCACAAGCCACCTGCTTTGGCAAAGACAGTCTCAAAAGAAAGGGAGGGCGTGAGGCTGCTGCTGTCCCCAGCTGATCTTACCTGGTCCAGCTCCATCACAACACGGAGCCCAGTAACCCACTCTTCATCACCACTTTCAAAACAAGACTTTCCAAATCCACTTGTTGCTCTTCTTGACCAGTTGTAGCTCACCCTAGTCCCTCAAGTTTCTTCCCTCACAGTGTGTTTGGGAGCGACCCATGAAGGACGTGTCTGTTTGTCAAGGCACCTGCTTCCTGGGCCTTGTGGCTTCTGGTGAATAGAGCTGATGGTCAGGGCTTCTTGGATGTGGGTTCCCACTTAATGGCACCTTAAATGACCAGAGCACAGCTACAGCAAATTTGCTGGAAAGATATGCTTCCTGGAACAAGAGCAGGTACTAAACAAGCAAACATGTGAAGCCTAATTGCAGAGGAACCACATGTTTGAGTTACCTGCTCCATGAATGGAACTGGCCAGAGCTGATTCATCACTGAGGCATGCTGGGGGACAGAGAAGGACTAAACTCTTTTTTTTTTTTTTCTATGTTTTATTTGTCCTTGTTTATATTGTGACCCAGATCCCCTGGGGAGCACAAGAACTATCTATCAGGACAGTGAGTGATGGGGGAATGGAGATGGGGAAAAGCAAAGACTGGGAGAAGCCTCAGCTGGTGTCAGCTCGAGTTCTCATGTTCACCAGAACTGCTGGGTTGCATAGGCACCGGCAAGGTGCACAGGAAGACATTGTATCAACTGCTGCATAGAGAGACTGTATAGAATGAAAAGTGAGCAAGGAGGCAGCTGTAGATAAATAAAGGTAATGTTCATTATTTCTAACGTGGGAAATGCAAAATTTTGCATGCTTCATTGTCCTTCCTAGATCCTAAAAGAGAGATGCAGTCGACTGCTGTAAAAATATGCTTGAAGATCTAGTCAACCTTATCTCTGTCCAGGGTAGAAGGAAGCAAGAAAGGATCTACTGTTCTGAGTTCACTGGAAATCGTATGCATGGAAATCGTATGTGTGCAAATCCTTACACACAGCCAGCTCTGCCCTTTCCTGTAGCCAGATTGTAAGGTGCTTTGTCCAGGCCTGCAGCCCCTGCCTTGGTGGTTGTCACAGGCATCACATCTGGGTTTGAAATCTAGAGCACTGAAGCTTTTCTGAGAAATGTTTATTCTCTCAGTCTGGAACATCTCAGCCGTGTTCATAAGCAAAGGCGGCAACTGAAGCGTGGGAGGTAGCAAACTTCAGTGTCAGACTGGAAAGACTTTCTCACCTTTGATTAAATCAGTGCTTTTAGAATTGATTTACTTGCATAAATATTCATTTATGGAGTGCATTTCCAGGAACAAAAATATATTTCTGTAACGGAGGAGGCAAGCGCAGTCTCTTTCACATGGCCATTGCTACAGACTCCTAAGACACATGGAAGGTAAAGCAAGGGGTGGCATGGGCAATGTGTGAGCTCCTTGAGTTCCCCTATCTTCCACCCAGGCACGGCAGTAGAAACTCAACAGGGGCTCCTGAATGTTGCTTCTCAGAAGGCAAAACGCAAACAACTATTTTGGGGGTAGGTTCTTGCCGATGCGTGAGGCAGCAGCCCCAGCTCCCTGGTGTTGTTAACTGTGTGCCATTCACACCAGTCACTTAGTCCTGCT